CCCCCCCCCGCACACCTCCGCCTTTCACCATGTCCAACAACAAGGTCAACTTCTTCGAGAAGGGCCCCCAGAACTTCACCCCCACGTAAGTGCTCTCCTGGCCGATCCCTGCCTTCGCCGCTCACGCAAGTTACAGGCCCGTACTTACTCCTTTATCCCGTCCCGCCCCGTCCCCCTCGCTCGCGTCTCGCCGTTCGCCGCCTGCAGCAACCTTCTCACCGGCACTGTGACCGGTCTCATCTGCGGCGGTATCATCGGTGTCATCTCCAACCGCACCGCTGGCCTGCCCTTCCTCCACAGTACGGTCCCCCCCCCCCCCCCCCCCCCCCCGGCTTCGGGCATATTCATGCTTCTAACACCACTGCCCGCACACCTGTGCATAGAGCCCGGTCGTCTCGCCGCCACTGCCATCGGTATCGGTTACTTCGGTTACCTGTGGGCCACCGCCGAGCACCACTACTACGGCAAGTACCTCGAGAAGATGGCTGGTCTCGAGTCTCGCGCCCAGGCCCTGTCTCAGGACGAGGAGTAAGAGCACCCTCCATCCCTTCCTCCTCCTCCCCTCCCATCGGCTCCTGCCCTGTTCCTCCCGCCACGGGCTGCCCCGCCTTTCTTGCTAGACCCCCTGGCTCCGGCTCCCTGTGCACGCGTGTTCGCGTGTACGCGTGTACGCTCAGCCGGGGCCCGTGCCACCTTCCCCTGTACCCTTCACAATAACGAATCCATGTTTCCCCCGCCAAGTCCCGGCTGGCTGAAGCGCCAAGGCGCCAACTGTGCCCCCCTCCCCCTTTCGCCGGCCTCTGGCGAGGGGTTGTTCTTCGTCCCTTTGGTGTGTGCATTTGCGCACATGTGCGTGTGTGTGTGTGTGTGTGTGTGTGTGTGTGTGTGTGCATGCGCGCCAGCGCGGGATGCCCAGCAAGAAGAGGTCTACACGGAAGGGAAGCCCAAGGGAAGGCGCCGGGGGGAGGGGGGGGGGGGTCACAAAGGGGTATATTGCTTCATCAAAGATGGAAAGCCGCGCGTGTGCGCCTTTCCACACACTTTTGTCATACACGGGAGGCGAAAATCGGACCGGGCCAGGCCGAGCCGCCATCGTCACCCCGCCGCGGCCCGCGGGCCCGCGCTTGGTAACCCTGGTCACGTCGCGTCTCGGCGATCAGAGCTCCAGAGACTGAATGGCCTTGGTCAGCTCGGAGACCAGGTCCTCGAAGGGGACCGTGGTCTCGACACGAGTGCTGACATTGCGGATCTTGATCACCTTGTTCTCCTTCTCCGCATCGCCGTAGATGACCGCCAGGGGGATGCCATTCTTCTCGCAGTGGCCGAACTGGTCCAGCAGCTTGGGGTTGGCGCGGTGAGAGAATTCGGTGTTGATGCCGGCGGCCCACAGCTTGGAGGAGATGGCCATCCGATCGGTGATGGACTCCTTCGAGTTGGAGATCACGTAGACCTGGGTGGCAGCAAGCTCGGCCTCCGCGTTCTTCTTGACCTTGGCCTCGAGGATGGAGAAGATGCGCTCGACGCCGAGGCTGAACCCGACGCAGGGGATGTTGTTACGGGGGGAGAACTTCCCAACAAGGTTGTCATAGCGGCCGCCACCAGCGATGGAGCCGACCAGGGCGCCTGTGGAATGGGGTGGTCAGGTGAGTACCGGGCGAGGGGCAAACCAAGCAAGATGGGCAGTAGCAGCAGCAGCAGCCGCGGCAGCAGCAGCCGCGGCAACAGCAGTAACGGAGGCCAAAGGGCGAGTGAAGCTCCAGCGGAGAGGGCCCCATCATGCGCACCCTCAAGGACAGCCTCGAAGATGAGGCCGGTGTAGTAGTCCAGACCACGAGCGAGGCTGAGCTCGAACTTGACCTGTGGAGTTGGGGAGTGCCGCCACAGGGGGCGGGGCGGGGAAAGAGGGGACGTCAAGTCAGAAAACAAGGCCCGGAGGACGAAGAGGGGCCAGGGACCGATGAAGAAGGGGAGGGACAGAGAATGCGCGGAGAAAGCCAAAGAGGAGCAACACCCGAGGGACCGGGACAGGGCAGCAGGGAAACGCACACTGGTCACACCGAGAGCCTGGAGATACTTCTCCAGCAGGACCAGCTCCTCCAGGGGAGCAGTCCAAGCGGCGGCCGCCTCGGCATCGACCCCGGTGGTGGAGGCCAGAATGTCGCGCAGCTTATCCAGAGCCACCTGCATGCTGGACTCCTGGGTGACGGTGTCCACCATGAGGTAGAACTTCTGCACCGCCTCGGCGGTGACACCCTTTTGCTCGAGCTCCTTCTGGACCTCGGCCTTGGACTGCTTGTCCAGCTTGTCAATCGACGAGCAGGCAGTGTGGTGCAGGTCCTCCGGCACACCGGCCATACCGAGGGCGGCGGTCAGCAGCTTGCGGTGGTTGACCTTGATGGTGAAGGGGCCAAGCTCCAGCTTGCGCAGAGCCTCATCGGCAATCGACAGGACCTCGGCATCGGGGACCATTGGAGCGTTGAAGTCGCCAGCAATGTCGAAGTCCTGTGTGCGTGCGTGCGTGCGTACACGTTTGAGAAAAGGGAGAAGGATTTAGCACGGGTCAGGAGGGAAAGCCACGGCCTCGGCAGAGAGGGGTCACGATTGAGAGAGGGCAAACGCACACACTGGTAGAACTCACGGAGGCGACCACGCTGGATCTGGGGGTTATCACGGCGATAGACCTTAGCGATCTGGAAGCGCTTGATGTTCTTGATGTTGCGGTTCATGGCAAGGTAGCGCGCGAAGGGGACCTGGAGCCAAAGGACAGATCCAGAACGCGCGCGAAAGAGAGAGAGAGAGAGAGAGAGAGAGAAAAGGGATTGCGTTGGGGACAATCGTGAGTGGGTATGGTAAAGAGGAGCGAGGGCGACGGGCAGATGGCGTGGGATACTCACGGTCAGGTCATAGCGGAGGGCAAGGATCTCACCGCCCTGGTCCGCCAGATCGTAAATCAGCTTGGAGTCCTCGCCATACTGGCCAAGGAGGAGAGACTGTCGTCGGGCAATTGAACGGAAAATGGGCAGGTTAGTCGCGAGCCGCGGGTCGGCCATCCAGGGCGGACTCCAGGGAAGGCAGGCAGCAAGTGTACCTTCAGCTCGAACACCGGGGTGTCGATCTGCACGGCGCCGTGGCGCTTGTAGGTGTCGGTGATGATCTGGAAGACCTTCTCGCGGATGCGCATCTCGAAGGGGCCAAAGTCGCGGGTGCCCTAGACGAATGTGGGGTACTTCTCTGTCAGCGGGGGAACCAAAGAAGTACATGTGCATATGCGTGTGCGTGTGCGTGTGCGTGTGCGTGTGCGTGTGCGTGTGCGTGTGCGTGCGTGTCCGCTCATATGGACGGCAAGTGGAAAGGCAAATGCAGAGAGGGAACACCAGGAAGGCAGCCAGTAGTGTCGTGTACCTTGGCATTCTTCAACTCCACAGCCTTGGGCTTGGGGGCCTTCTTGGCGCCAGTAGGCTTCTGCGGGGCAGCGGCGGCGGCGGCCTCGACGGCCACGGCAGGCGCGACAGCCTCAGCGCAGACGTTCTCGTCAGTGGACATCCTCTAGCAAATGATGTGCAGAGGGGGGGGGAGGGGGGAAAAGAGGGCGGGACGTGCTCAGGAGGGCGGTCCGCAAGTGGGGTGCAAGTTAATCCGGTCGTCGGTGGCAATGTTCTCGCTTTTTTTTTCCCCCTCGCCCTTCCGACGTAAGTCCTACGGGCAAGCCACGTCCGTCCGGCCAGGCAGCGTAGCGTGCGCGAGGGTGAGGAGATATCCCCCAGAGATGCAAGCAAACCGGTGATGTATCGCGGTCCCGGTCCCCCCCCCCCCCCCCCCCCGTTGCCAGCACCATGCAGCCCCCGCCCCGGGACCCGCACCAGTCCCGCATGCCCACACCCCGCCCGGCCAGGTGAGAGGCTCGGCCCAAGTAATCCACGCAAGCGCATTCACGCGCCTGAGTGTACACCTGCCCCGCTCTGGACAGCCAACGGATCGACATGCTCCGCACATGCCCCCCACACACAGGCACCAGATCCCACCGAACTGAAACCCCGTCGCGCCATCCGTGACCGCCGCCAGCGCCATGTCCCGGGGCGTCCAGGTCCCGGGTCCGGCAGGGATCTTCCTTCTCCCAGCAAGTGGGGGGGCGACCGGCTCAGGGGCGCCCAGGATACTTGGCTCTCATCACTCCTGGCAGGGAGGAGAGGTTGCCCTGTCCCCGGAACACGATCCTGACTCCGGCACGGGTCCCAGGCGGCGGGGGGACCAGCAGGGCCGCGCCGGCTGGCGGGCCGCCTCTCTTTGGGCCGCCTCTTCCCTGGGCCCATCGTCCACAGTGCTTGCCAAGTACCATTCCACACTCCCCCCCCCCCCCCCCTTCCCGCTCTCTCCTTCCAAGCCCTCTGCCTCCATCCCCCTCGCCCAGACTGCCACCGGCTCCTGCTCGCCCTCCGATCGCCCTGCCATGGACCCCCACCACCCCGACCCCGGCGGCGTGCCGCTCGATGACGGCGCCGACCTGCAGCTTGCCCTGCAGGACATCTGCGACACCTCGGACTCGGACTTCGACTCGGAGTCCGAGCTGGGGGACTCGCAAACGAGGTCCGGGCAGGGTGCCGGCCCAGCCGAGGACCCGGTCACGCGGCTTTCCTCGCTCATGGTCAACCTCTTGGAGAAGGCTCGCTCTGCGCTGGAGGAGAATGATCTGACCGACCAGCCATCGCCTTTGGACCTCTTTTCGCCGGGCCCCCCGGGCCCGGGGGCCGGGCGACTTGGCGACGTCGGGCTAGCCACGTCCAGCCCGATGACCGGCCCCCGCGGCGATCCCCTCATGAGCCCCTCCCTCGGCTCGGGCGCCGGCCGTCTTGGGGGCTCCGGCGGGGCATACACCCATCTCTCCAATGACTCGCTGCCCTTCCTCACAGATGTCCAGCCGATCGGCATCCCCAATGGCGTCGACCCGTCGGAGCTGCTATTCGACCTGTCGGCCATCGACAGCGACGTGCGCGCCCCCTGTGCTCCCTGCCGCCTCTTTCTATGCTTTTGCTCCCCTCCCCCCTCCCCCTGCTCACCTCTTTGCCGCGATGCCTGTCCTCCTCACTGCCATCCCCCCCCCCTCCTTGGCCCCTTTTTGGAACAGATCTTCAACCTGATCGTGCAGCAGGGGATACCGCTGACGCCAAAGAAGGCCCTGGCCATGTTTGCACGCTCCTACCGTGCCTCCAAACTTGAATCCGAATATCTTCGTGTGCGTTGGACGTCCCTCCCCCCCCCCCGTCGTGAGAGGAGAGAGGGGGGGGAGGGGCGGCAGGGGCGAGGGGCTTCCTTCTGCAACCTTGTTCGTTCTCTAACCCGAGGCAAAACCACCATGCACCCCGACATCCAGTCCCTGCTCACGGCTGTGCTGTTTGCGCCACCGGATTTGCCACACGAGCCACTGACCACCGAGGCCCTTGCCCGGCTCCTGGGCGCGCCCGTTCGATCTGATGCCTGCCAGTGCCCGTGCCTGTGTGGCCTGGGCCCCGTGCAGCCAGTTCAGCTGGTGGCCGACCTGGTCGACCTGGATGGCCCTTTGTTGGCGGATCAAGCAACGGCAGTGCGCTCGCGCGCCGGGTCTATGTTGCCGTTCTCCACGCCGGCCGCTGTCCCGGCCCCGGGACTTTCGGCCCCTGTCCCGGGCCCTGCCAGCGGCTCCGATTCATCTTCGAGTTTGGTGTCGACCCCGGCCCCGGCCCCGGCCCCGGCCCCGGCCCCAGACCTGCTTCCGACCAACCAAGACAAGGCTCCCAACCGGAGCCAGGAGGATCCCCCGAGCAGCCCGGAATCCCCTCGGCGCCCGGCATCCGACCACGAGGCTGACTACTCGGCCTCGCAGCACCTGACCCCCATGAAGCGTGAGCTTCTCTTTTCCACTCAAACACCGGACCCGGCGGCGGCCGCGGCCCCGGTCACCCCGGCCACCCAGCCGCACCCGCTTTCGGTCCAGGGCCGGCTGTCCCTCTTTGAGATTCTTTACTCCCAGCCGACCACTGTCGGCTCCTCCTCCCGGTCGGAGCAGCTTCTGCTGGCTGCCTCGGCTCGCCTGAGCGCCCTGACGGCCATGCTGCCTGGGGTCCAAGCGTCCGCCATCTCCGAGGATCACCTCTTCTCGGCCGAGAACTTGGACTCCATCTTCGAAGCGGCGACCGGGTCTTCATCCTCGGCTGGATCCTCCGCGCGGCCGTCCCCGGGCCTGATGCCTGATGCGACCGATCTGGGATCCGGTGCGTCGACCCCGGGCCGGTCTCCGCCGGTTTCCGATCCGAACGGGCTCCTTTCGCCCCCTGGCGCATCGCCAAGTCTGGCCACCGTCAACGCTCGAGCTCGGTCCATGTCCTCGCGCAGTCGGTCCGGCACGGCGACCGCACGCGACCGCCGGCGCATGACCACCACCGGGGCGCCTCCCCTGCCCGGGGCCACGACGGTCAACTGGCGTGCCATCACCGAAACCATCCAGGAACTCTTTTGGCTCCTGTCAGCTGCCGGGTGTGCTCTGCATGATGAGACGTCCATGCGCCGAGGCCTGGCCGATGAAAATGGTGCGAGATCGCCCCTCCCATGGAGCCATCCGATCGTGTGAGGATTCCCCCCCTGCCCTCCGCGCTCGGCTCATATGTCTGACTTCGGCTTTGACCTCCTCTCTTGCTCCCCCCCCCCCCTCCCCCCCTCCCACTGCCATCGGCTCCGCCCTCACCCTCGTCCTCCTGCTGGACGCGTCGCTGGCGCGTTCGCGCGTAGGCCGCCTCTTCCACAAGGCTGCCCTCCTTCACCACCAGCTCACCCAGTTGCAAGCTGGCCGTGGAAGCGCCTCGGCCCCGGCGTCCACGCCCGCCGATGAGGGGTGCTCGATCATGTAAAAAATACATCCCACCCTCCCTGCGTTGGCACCTTCCTTGTGTTTTTCTCTCGGCTGATCTGGGAGCGGCAAGTTGCTGGCCATGTTCCCCGGGGAGGAAGTCGGCCATTGCACGAGTGCCCCCCCCCCCCCCCCCCCCCCCCCCCCCCCCCCCCCCCCCCCCCCCCCCCCCCCCCCCCCCCTTCCCCTCTCCCGCGCTCCCCCGACCTCCCCTCCTCGCCTTCAGCTCGCCCATGCATCATGGCCAGCACCCTTGAGGATGTTCGTGACGCTCTCAGCCACGAGGTGGCCGTCTCACTAGAACTTCTCTCGGACATGGCCCTACATGGTTTGCCATCTGATGCGCGTGGCGAGGTCTGGCGCTATCTGCTCCATGTGCAAAATCCGGACAAGTGTGCGCTCACATCCCTTTCTGCCCCCTCCCCCCTCCCTCTGTCTCCTGGTCTCTCCTCTCTCAATTCCCGGCCCCGGCTTGTGGCACACTTTCCCGCTGTTGCTGACCTGCGCCCCTCGGCTGCGTTCCCCCCCCCCCTACACACACACACACACACACACACACACACACACACACACACACAGCCCGTGAGCTTGCCTCTGCCGTCGGTAGACAGTACCTGTACCAGCTGCTTCCCAAGCAGCTGGCCGATCCGCTGGTTGTGCCTCGCATGCGGAGAGATGTATGTCCAACGGGTCTTGGCCCCTCCCTTCGGCCTCTCCCCGCCCCATGGTCTAACCCCTCCTGCTCTCGGCTTCGTTCGCTCGCTGCACCGGCGGGCCGGTGGCCATCGTAGATTCGCACCCACCTGCAATCTTGCCTCCCCTTGCAGACGGTCATCGAGCCGGTGGCCTTCCTGCTCGAAAGGGTGCTCAGGTGCGCCGCGACTCCACTTGCCCCCCTCTCCCTCCTGTCCTGGCGACGTCTCCGGCCATGGGCTGACCCCCCTGCCACCCCGCCAGCACCTACCTCCTGAACAATCCCGACATCGTCTATTCCGCCAGCCTGGTGCTCATTTGCACGCCCTTCCTGGCCACACAGGAGGCCGAAGTCGATGTGTACTGCTGCTTTGAGCAGCTAATGTGCCGGCCGGAGGTTCGGGATCTTCATGTTTTTTCTCGCGGAATGCCCGCCGCGCTGGCCATCCCCGGGGGCTATTCCGACTCGTCGGTGGCCCCATTGGCCGCTGGTCCGCCTGGCACCCCAACTCCCTCCATCTCGGATTTGGTGCTGTCCCTAAAGCGACTCAACACCACTCACGCTGGGCCGCCATCGCCACCGCCATCGTCTCTGCTGCCACTTCCACCAGACGACACTGGCGATGCTGGCGATGTGTCTCCTTGCCAAGGTGACGGCTGCACCGCCAGCAGTGGCGAACATAGTGCCAGCAGCAGCAGCAGCAACACCAACAACAGCAACGGCGCCCGGACTTCCTCCATCCATCCGGCACAGGCCAACCTGTCGCGCTTCATCCTGCTCCTACGCGTGGTCCTGCCAGACCTGTATGCCCTGTTTGACGAGGTGGAAATCGACTCGCGAGCCTGGGCCGCCGGGTGGCTGAGCCACCTGCTTGCTGGGGAACTGCCCCTGGCCAGCCTCTTGCGCCTGTGGGACAGCTACTTCGCCTCGCCCGAGGGGGTGTCCCTCCATCCGTATGTGTGTGTGGCCATCCTCCGGCAGTTCCAGGACGAGCTGGACGAGCTCGATCGGCATGAGCTCCTGAGCTTCCTTCGATGCCTGCCACACTTGGACATGGAGCAGATCCTCGCCGATGCCCACAGCATCCGGCTGGAGGTGTCCGAGATGAATATCATGTGATATCTTGAATTGAAGTGTCATGTGGATGTCGAGAAAGGCATGCCAATGTACTGGACCGTTAGTGCTGGTCCGCATGCATCGTGCACGTGGTCTCGGGCATCTTCGCTGCGATTGCGGGCTTGGCCGTGGCCGTGGTGGCAACATTCCTCGGGGCCCTTCCCGAGGAACCCTGCCCACCGGCAGCTCTGGAGCCACCTCGGCCGCCATTCTCTGCCGCCTTGCCGGTGCCTGGCACCATGATGCCCCTCCCTCGGGAGGCCTTCTTGTTCGTGCCCTTGCTCGCTGTGTTTTTTTTTGTGGGAAGGAGGGAGGAGAGGGGGGGGGGGGGCGGGGGCGGGGAAGGGTCAAGGATCTTTTTTGCCCCATTTTTGCGCAGCCATTCTGGCTCCAGGGACTTGGGTGGAATTGCTGGCGGGGCTTGACCCCCCGCATCGGCACGCGTGGCCGAGCGGCACGATCGCCGGCCTCCATGCGCGCCCGCCCGCGCGCCCGCGCGCCCGTGTAATCTTCCGCCCCTCGGCCCCGGCCATAGTCAGAGGATTTCCTGGTCCCCGGTTCTGGGGATCCGCCCCTCGCGCCTTCGGGTCATCCTGTTTCTTTCATTTGTGCCCCGCTGGCGCGACCGGCGCGGGCGGGACCCTCTGGGTATTTATTTATTTTATTTCGCCCCGCTCTCAGCCTGCCCCCCCCCCCCCCTCCCATCACACCCCCACGACCACCACCGTCCCTCCTTCCCCTCGCGATCTGGAGGCCAGCCAATGGGCGAAAGGGGGCCCCGAGACATGCGCGAGGGCCAGCCGGGGCGTCATGACGAGATCGGCCAATCTCGCACCTGACGGACGTGGTGCCATGGTTGTGGGCTACCTGGTGCCTCCCGTGCGTATTCCGTCTTGAACGGGCCAAGACCTCGGCTCACGCCTTGGGTTGGCCCTGGGGGGTCCTTCCCCTGCCCGTGGTATGGGGGGGATGGCTGTGCATGGTGCCTCGAGATCGGCCTCAGGGGGGTAGGGGGATGGCGGGCCAGCGAGGCATGTGGTCGTCCGAAGGGAGTCATTCGACCGTGCCGGAAGCCATACATCCCCCCCCGCGCCCTTGCCTTGTGCATGTACCAAGATCCTGTGGCTCCGTCCCTGGCTGCACTTGGGGCTCATGTGCGTCGGGGGG